TCGTCTGTCAATGTCTAACGATGACCAATACATCCGCAGAGGAAATATTTCTCCACCTAAATAGAAGAATTTGAAGAATTAAAGGTTACAATGACTTGTGACTTCTGCTGTGGCCAATGAGACCAATTTTGGCAGAAAAATGTTTGACACATTTTGAACATTTAAAAGCTCCACTTTCACTTGTGAATATGCGCAGCTTGCGGGTTTCTCTCTTGATTTCAGCATTTCTTGTTTGTGAAGCCTCACATGATTTGCTGCCAACTGTGACTGCTGCTCTCCAGCTGAGTCTGTCAGGAGACCAGCTCTCCATATCGAAGTATTTAAAGTATATTAAGACATTTGAAAAGCGACTATTACATAATGAGTGCATATGCACACACTTATCTATCCCATTTACTGTGTACAAAAAAGAGAAATGTAAACTTTTACTACTGCAGGGGGGTTACAGACTTAAAGGAGAACCTATAAAAATTAACATTTTAAAAGACCACTTCCACTGAAATTTCATAATCTTGATCTTTCTTACATTTCTATTTGTGGAATTTTCATATCATTAACCGAGATGATGTATTTGAACTCTGTTCACCACACAGTGAAAAATCAGGACTTTGAACATTTTGGAAGAGAACCTTTTTGTGCCCTAACCATTGATTAGTGCAATCCTCGTCCCTCTGAGATCAAACAAAAAACTGAGTGTATTCTATACAACAACACAATAACTTAAGATCTAGTTTTAATAAGAATTTTACGGCCCTTACAACACAAAAAGGTCACAGAAGTGTCAAAGATTAGAAGTGATACAAGAGAGTAACAAACACAAAAAACGAAGCAGGGGAGACAAGGATGATAGGTGTTCGATTGCAAAGAAGGAGCAACCCACACAAGAGCATCCGCCAACCCCTTACATAACTTAAGAGATTATATGACTATTTCACAGGCCAGACACAAAGAACATACTCTATACAACAACAAAACAACTGAAGAGATTATATGACTATTTCACAGGCCAGACACAAAGAACATACTCTATACAACAACAAAACAACTGAAGAGATTATATGACTATTTCACAGGCCAGACACAAAGAACATACTC